GAAAAATAAATAAATAAACCTCTGTGGGAACTAGCCTCTCTTCCTCCTCCCCCAACACTCAGGGTTACACCTCCCATCTTCTTTCAAATCTATTCAAATCAATCTCTTCCCTGATTCCTTTTTTTTTTTTTTAAATTTTGGCGGCGGGGAATGGAGGTTGTTCCAATTATGTTCAAGCATTACCCAACCAGCACCTCAAAGGATCCTACTCAGAAAGCAAGAGAGATTGAACACGTTCATATATACAAGAACATTTTGTTCTTCCACAATAGCCAATATTTATTGTTAACTCTAAACCAGGCAGTATGTTTCGCGCTTCATGTATTATCTCCTTGAGATAAGCATCATTTTTAATCTTCATTTGACAGTTGAAAAAACTTGTCCAGTGTCCCAATGCTAGAATGCAACACAGTCAAGTACGATTCCAGAGCTAGAGAAATAAGAAAGGGTTGGATCATGTAGGACTCCTTATGTCACCTTAAATGTTTAAACTTTATCCTAAAAGAAATGGATATCCTTTTAGGGATGTTAAACTGGGGAGTAGCTTGATGAGATTTGTCTTAGAAAAACCACTCACTCATATTTTAGAAAAGTATGTATTCAGAATAGGTTACAAGGGGCTTCTCTAGAAAGAGGGAAACAGAATAATGCATAAATAAAAAATAATAATAATGTGTTAATATTTATAATAATAAAAAGGTAATATGCTAGTTAGACCGGACATCCTTCCAGATGTCCTCATGGACACTGTATGTCAAACACTATAGACATCAAAAATAATATTCAGCCCTTTTAAGAGTTCCACAGTATAATAGGGAAAACAATATAGAAATATAAGATTATAATACATTGTGAAAAATACAAAAATTGAAATTAAATTATATGAGATCATGATAAAATATAGAAGAGAAAATTATTCATTATCTCTGGAGGAAATGAAAGTCAGGTGATCAGGAAATCTTTCAGAAGGTGATGTTCAGGCTAGGTTTTAAAGAATATATAGGAGTTGGCTAATTGGGCAAGAGAAAAAGATATTATAGGTAATAATAGCTATCATTTATTGAGAGCTCTCCATGTGTCAGGCATTGTGCCAGGCAAGTTTCAATAACTATTTGATTTAATCCCCATAACAAATTTTTGGGCTACTTACTGTCCCCATTTTACAGCTAAGGCACAGAAAGTGACCATTCAGCTGATGAGTAGAGGTAAAGAGAATAGTGTATATAAATATAGCATGATATTAAGAATCATTGGAGTACAGTATGTGGCAGGAAAAGTGATGGCAAGTGGGATGAAAAAGAAAAAAGAAAAGCTGGGCTAGATTACAAAAAGCAACTATATATGTGTTAGTGGGAGGAGGAACAAACTTTCCTCTCCCTTCATGTTTCTTCTGGCTGCCCTAAGAACCAAAGAGACATGAGACAGATTAGCAAGAGAAAATAACCATATGTAATATCTACATATGTATGGGAACTTCGCATACAAGAGTCAGAGACCCCGCAGACATGAGAGTTTCAGAGACAGAGAGGGTGATTAAAGTACATAAGACATCCTGAGGTACAGATGAGGTAAGGTGTCTTGAGGCTTCAAAGGATCATGGCAGGATGGTAAGAAAATCAGACTTCTAGTAAAAAGAAGTTTGCCTTGCCCTATAGATAGATCAAAGGAAGTTGTCTCTACTACTCTCTTATGGGCAAGGTCTTTAATTTAAATTCTTCTATATAATTAAGGGAGATGGACAGAAGTTTCTCTTGAGCCTGAGGTCAAAGTTGCCTTTAGCTTAAGACATTCTGCATACCACGGAGGCACATCTTGACCTGACTCATTCTGGACCCCTAACCTAGGCTATATAGAGTTTGCAAAGGATTTTAAACATAGTAAACGCAGGAGTACATTTAATCACCATAATATACGATTCAACCCATATCCCAAAGATGAGAGATTTTGCCAGTCTTTTCAGCTTCACCTCCTACCACCATGTGAACTTCATCCTTTATCCTAACCAATGCAGTCTGCTGGCAGTCCCTGACCTTTTCTCATGCCTCCTCCATACCTTTGCACATGCTGTTCCATGTGTCCCAAACTCATTTCTATTTCATTCACCCAGATACCTCCTTCAGTCTGTCTAAAATGTGTTCAAATTTGATCTCTCCTTAACACCAGGTATTTTTTAAAACTTGGTATAAAATTCAGGGATCCAGGAAATTACATCAAACTAAACCTCTAAATAAAAATTCAGCACATCGTATTATAAATGCAGGCCACAAACCACATAGTATTAGCAACACCTATGCTTTTGCTACCAGAAGAAACCACAGGTATTTCCGTATCACATTACAGTTGCTACCAAAATATTCACATTCATTGCTACCTCAAATTATGTTAATAATTATGCCCACCGCTAGATCTTGTTTTTAATAAGTTAATCAAAGAGCACATATATTACTAAATCACAAATTTTTTTAAAAAGTATTTCAATAGCTTTTTAATATACAATATTTCCTTTGTTAATCCAAAGTATTGTATGCATTTAAAAACATTGTTCTGAAAAGGGGTCCCTAGGCTTCTGCCAGAGAGGTCCAAACAAAAGTTGGTGACTCTTTCTTAGGAGTCCTGAATGACACCTGCCCTTCCCTGCCCTTCTCTCCTATCCAACACCCCATCATTCTGAGTAAGGTGCCCCCCGCTTTGCCTTCCTTCTGATTTCCCATTTTAATGTTTGCACCCCATCCCTCTTTGATATTCTTCTCTGCCTCCCTAACTAATCCGTTGAGCTCTTTGAGTATTGGAACTATGTTTATCACTGCTGTATGCTCAGTGCCTTACAGATAGTGACATAGTGCTTAATATTAATAATAAACAGTCATGGAATTAATCAAACATTAGAACATAAAACCCCAAAGTATCTGCAATGTACCGAGACAACTATAAACTAAGACACAAGACCCTAAATAAATTTAATCCCAATCTGACTACACTGAAGTTGACGACTACTCTTGTGGATGCTTGTGTGAGGCCCAAGAGGAGGTACCGTATTTGCCGGCGTATAAGACGACTGGGCGTATAAGACGACCCCCTAACATTTCCACTCAAAATACAGAGTTTGTTATATACTCGCCGTATAAGACTACCCCTTCTTCCGCACACCTTCCACACACCAAATAAAAGGTAAAACAATATCAGATTTGATTTTAACATTTT